GAGGTAGGGCTGTAGTCGTTGGAGGGAGGCGTGGATATCGACCAGGGCGTTCATGTGCTCTCTTCGTGCTTCTGGCGATATCGGGGTGCTGATCGGGTTCATAAAGTGTCGGTTTGGCATAGGCGTGTGCTCTGCGATGTAGTCGGCGAACAGAGACTCATGTCTCCAGGGTTGCATGGATTGGATTACAGTCTTTGTGCCTGTAACTAGAGAAGCCCAGCCTCGCCTAGATGACTGCGTCAGTTTTGATTACCCCAATATATTCAGGTATTCCTTACCAGTCTGTCGCCTGCCATGCAAGCAGGAGAGACGCCGCAAGTACAGCATCCGAGTTATGCTTAGTAAAGTTGGTGATGCCGTCGTGCAAGCCCTTGAGAGCAAGACTTGCGTGATGGAATGCGAGGTTTCGGGTTTCGGTTGATTGGGAGATCCAGGCCAAGTGCGAGGCAGAGAAGGCGAGGATGCTGTGCATAACGAATGGATGGGTTGCGGCTATGCTCAAGAATCTAGAAACGTTAGTGTTGCTTTTGGGCGTAGTCGCTTGGGGTGGTAGGTGCGTACTTGGGCATCATGTCGGTCCAGAGGGTCGATTTCGAGGTCCTGTTTCTGAACATCTCATTCGAAATAGAGGCAAGATGGTGCACCAGACGGAGGTCAACCGTCGTCAAGGCGCGCCATTGCGGCTGTGGGTATACTCGGAGCTCGGGGAAAGGAAACTCTCCCGTCTGTCTCCAGAGTTCGATGGTGGCCTCGATCTCGGGCGTCCAGAGCAGGTTGGGCTGCTGAGGAGACTGGGGAGACTCTGGCATCATGGCAGTTGGACTGTCCATGTAGTCGCAGCGAACCTGGTGCTTGGTGCAGTTGCGGCTGGTAGATGTCAGTACATGAGTCGTGGACAAAGAGATGTTGGTGCTTACCATTGCGGGAATGTTTCATCACAGCGAATATGCCGCCTCTTGCACGTCTTGCAGCCCTTTCGGGACTTGGTATGGCTGCGCCTTGAAGGGCCTCCACCGGGACCAGCCATTTTTCAAGAGGAAGATGAAGTAGTTTAGCGAGAGTGGGAAGTGGACCGTACGGCGTGGTCGTGGTAGCACGTCAGGGCACAGGATCAGTCGCAGGCAGTGTTCTCTTGTTGTGTGGTATGCGAGATGGACGGGAAGGTGGGATAGACGAGGGGCTGTGTATATGCGGGCGGTAGATCTGGCGAGCGGTTGATAAAGCGAGGGTAATGGGGTCGAAACCGGTGACTAAATTGGACAGGGTGGTGATTTGGAGGCTGTTCGTGGGCGTTCTGGTGATATATAGTGCAGAGTGCAGATGGGATGAGCTTAGATAGCTCTAGGGCTGGAGAGATATTGACGCAAGGCCAGCAATACCTCCGGCGGACAGGCTAAGAGGGTACGACAGGACGACGTGACAGCGGAAGTGGTCAAGCTCGTCTGCAACCTACCCCCTGCACAATGACCATGCAGGATGAGGACAAGGCTATGGACTAGAGGCTCGCCAGGCTGAAGAAGGGACTTGGGTGGTATGCGGGCAAAAGCGCAGGGTGACTTGTGCTCGGTCCCAAAGACGACAAACGTCGAGAAACGGGGCCAGGTAGGGTTAGCCTGAGGTAGCGTCCACACAAATAGCAGTGACGCCACGAGCGGCGGAAGAGGGACTTGGGTGGCAGCCCGCGAGACGGGAGAGGCTAGCAGGGAGGGCAGAGAAGCTTGCGGGAGCTACAGACGATGGAGTGACTGATTGCCAGATGGCACCGGCTGGCTCCTGCTCGTATGACATAGCCCCGGTGTAACTCCCGTGGGGATTAAGGTTCCAGCGAGCCATGAACCCTCGCAGTCGGCAGGGCGCTTTCAGACATGCAGCACGGCGTCGCTCAAAGACTCAGGACGTGTTTGGATGAATGAAGCGGCCCCTGTCGGGCGAGGGTTGAGCCCAGGGCTAGGGTGCAGTGTGAAGGTGCTAGTTCGCCGACGGCCATGTCGCAGAAAGCAGCCTTTGGTGGCCCTCTGGTCAAAGCCCCTGTCAATCCGCTTGGGACGGAGACGTTTGAGCGTGCAGGTGCATGAGCCGCTCCAGCTGGGGCTCGGGCTCAGAGCGCAAGAGGCGTGAAAAACGGCCATTCAGGTCCGACGACCGAGGAAACGCCAACAGCTGCGCGGGCCGTGCGTGGAGAACGATCGACCAGTAGCACCTGGATAGCTCGCTGGCCATGCTGTAACGGGTAGTTGGAAGCCGCCTGCGGAATAGTGGGTGAAGGAGGCCGCCATGCTTGCTCGCCGGGTCAGCTTCGGGGCGCGCGCGCTGCTAATTTTTCAGACAGCTCCAGAGCCCTGAGTGAGGTGGCAGCGCCCACGCGTGACGGGCGTGACGGGCGACCACGGGCGACATGGATGCCCGACATCTCATCAACGCGAAATGCGAAGCTGGACTCTGCCAGCGACGTCGGTCGAATCAGACTGACGTTGCTGATGCGATGCCACCAGCGATCGCTAAACACTGCGGAAGCCGGGGCCCTCAATATCTCGCGGTCAAAAATAGCCCTCCGTGCGTCACCTGTCACCAGACCGCACGCAAAAAGGGTCTACACGTTCATCGCGCTGATTTTCCATCGATACTACGCTGGCCCATCCTCACGCCGCTATCCTCATACCGCTCCTTCGCATCCAGTTGCGCCGAGCAGTGGCGGCGGACCTCGCTCTATTCCTGTCTCCGCTATCGACGGAAGGGCGCCGCGCGATGATTAAGCGTGACTTCCGCTCCGACGAGTGCTACGAGTGGGTGACTTCGCCTGTGGCATCGCGAAACGCCATTGCATCACTGGGTAAACAACCTGGGAACCTCCCCGCCTGGCAATATCTCATGCAGCGGAGAATGCTTGCTGGCGGGGCCTATACAGTAACTGAGTAATTACGCGACCCTGCTGGTGGGCGCCTGACACAACAGCCTGCATCCACATATCGAGATATCGTCACAGCAGCTGCGATTTCGTCGCCGACATCCCATAGGGCTGTACCTATGACGTTGTCTATACGCGCGATACCGTCGCGACCGTCGCGTGGTGGAGCACAAGTAGCTGCCACGAGATACGAGTTCTAAACCAGGAACCAGTGGCATCGCGGCGGCACCCGTCGCCTACCTACCAGCTACCTCTTGCAACCACCGAGGCTAAAACTCTACTAGATGACATAGCGGAATGCGCCAAAGCAGGTTCATGCGACAACATGTGTATTCGCAGGCTAGTCTTCCTTCAGCCACACGCCTACGTCGAGCTGGTGTTTGGTTGTCATAGACCCGTGGTGGCTATTCTTAGGATTAAGGTCCTTTTACCCTGGGAGTTTGCAGCCGACCATGCATCTAGGGCTACCCATGCAGCCATGTTTTCTCTGGGGTTCTGCGACTAGGGTTACAAGACACCTCTCCACTCGCATCTTTCGTCCATCGTCGCACCGGTCTTTTCCGATGGCCTACTCGCCTTTGCAGCGTAGCCTCAGCATAGCTCCAGCGTACACTAAGCCAGCGCACTACTAATCGACTCAGCGATTCAGCAACCACAAAAAAAACATCCGAACGTTACTACACATACATTTTATGACGTCTGGAGAGGCTTCATGTCGCGACACCACACCGTCAGTCACACGACAACAAGACATCGCAGCCAAGCCGGCTACCAAATGCAAGTTTTAACACAAAATGTCGAGTTTTCAGCGCGGCGCGCAATACACATTCCCCAGCCATCTGCAAGCCACACTTTGCACCTGCACGACCATGCAAAGCATCCCTCTCCACCCGTCGGCCCAGAGCTATAAAAAGCGTCGCACCCTGAGCTACCATTGGCGCGGAAGCGATTTCTACCGGCAAGTGTGGCAGGCGACACAGAGAAATCACACAGACACTTCCTCTTCTCCGCCCTCACGGGCCATTGCGTGCACTGTGATGTGACCTGTCAATTCCTCCGAACGCTTTGGGGGGGTTTTGATCCACCGGCCGAACATGCACGACTACCAATTGCAAGATCAAATTTTTGATATTCACGCATATCTACTGTGTATCGTCGATCTCACATCCCAGACACACACCACCACAATATCATACTCACCCCTCCAATCCTCCATATTGCCAATATATCGTCCACTACAAAGCCCGCCTATGCAAGCCCACCCGCCTGAACCTTACCTAAACATACACATACACTACAACTATCATTCACCCCAATAAGCCTAAAGGCAATGCCAATACCAATACCTCGCGTCCAACCAAACCATGTATGCCATAACTAAACGATATCGTAACCTGATACATAACCCAATGTTTTGCGTTGGTGAGCAATACCTCCGTAACCTGAAACATTCGGCCTCGGCCGTAATATCACTCATCTGGCAGGTAATCAGGCCGATGAGCCTTGTCCGCTATTCCAAGGTTCTTTCAATAGATTAAGTGACCCCACACGTGATCGACGACCGGTATGCTGAGTCAGTCACTTGCCCTTCGCTTTTCGCTTTTCGGCGAGTCGTGAATGCATGGTCTGTTCAGCATGGGCGTTCGGCATGCGTGATACACACAGACTATGGATTTCTCCATGAATATTGGGTGGCCTGATACCGGTGCATGTGTTTCAGATCGCGGTGATGTTACATGCTGGTGAAGGTGGGGGAGAGGGGGGTTTCAGCTGGATATGTTTGTCGGCGGTACCGGGCGCTTGGGGTGGATATGTGTGTGGGCGTGGGTGTGGTTTGTGCGGCTTGTGCTGTGGATGAATGGATGGATGTACGAGTGGTTATGTCATCGGATGTGTTGGAAACTGGATTCTTCGAAGAAGGGAGGCATGTCCCATCGAGATTGGATTTGGGCGAGCGACGGGTTTCTTTCCTTTCGATGTTTGGGTCTTCGTGCTCAGCGAAAGTCCATAAATCCTTTCCTCGACACTCACTCTCTTCCCTTCCCAAACCTCCCACATCATCCAACCTACCCCATCCCTCCAATATCCCCCTCTCTCACGTCCCCCAACTCCACTCATCCCACTCCTCCCTCCAACTCACCGGCTCCAGCGGCCCCTCAACTTCCAATATCTGACCCAACGCACACTCATCAAAGCTAACCTTCTTCTGCTTCTCGAGGTAAAACACATCGTACCTTTCATGCATGGCATCTTTCAGATTGCGTACATTACCCTCGGGATGCAATTTCTCCCATGGTCGCGTGCACACACGGCCTTTGCAGCGCTTGAGCGTGAGGAGGAGGGCGTCGAGGCGGGCGGTGAGGGGGAGGATGGGGTAGGAGGTTATGGTGGTGGTGGCGTTGGGGGTAGAGAGGAGGTTGGTGAGTTGGTATGGGTCGGTCTGGTTGGGTTTGTCAGTACCCATTCCTCCAAGCCTGTGAGGCAAAGAGAGGGAGACAGAGCAAAGAAAAAGGAGACCAACCTTCATATCATAAAGCTCCCGCTCATTCGTACACCAAACCGTATAACTCAAATCATACTCCTCCCCCACCACCCTCACCGTCTTATACGTATTCTCCGCCCACACATCCCGCCCATAAAACGTATTCCCCTCCACAAGATACTCCCCCCAAAACTCAACATTAACATGTTCACTCTTCCCACCCTTTTCCTGCATCGCCCCCGTAACAGGAATAACCTCCCCGTCAAAGTCCTCCCGGGCTGGTATACCAGCGAGATGAAACAACGTAGGCACGATATCCGTATGACTACTAGGAATCTCCATCACAGCGCCTTTGGAGACGCCCGGGCCGCGGATGAAGAAAGGGATGTTGATATCTTCTTCTATGCCGCAGGATTTACCGGGCGGGAGCCGGTGTTGGCTGATGTGGAAGCCGTTGTCGGTTGTGTAGATTAGGTACGTGTTTTCTAGCACCTCGGGGGTTTCGCTCAAACGGTTCATGATGGACTCGATGAGGTCGTCGACGGATTGGAGGGTTTGCAGGCGTGCGCGGTACCAGGCGTCGTTGTACGCGATTTCTGAGGCGTTGAGCGGGCGGAGCGTGGAGAAGTAGGATGCTGTTCCTGGCTGATGGGGTACTAGTGTGAGATGGGGACTGCGGTAGAAGAGGTGCGACTACTTACTTTTGAGGGGTTGAAGTTTGGTGTTCGGGGTACTTTTACGTCGGGGAAGAGATGCTCGTGGCGTTTTGCGGGGACGGGTAGGTTGAACTTTGTAGGGCGGGGATTGGTGATTGTTTCTGAGTGGGGGGCTATGGGTGCGACGCCGATGAAGAATGGCCGGTCTGGTGCTGCGATGGCTTCGTCTAGGAAGGAGACTGCGGCGTTGGCTACTAGGTCGGTTGAGTACTCTCCTGGTGAGTTTCTGTAGACGTCGTGGTTGCGCGTCATGGTGGAGTTGTAGAAGACGTATGTTCCGGGATCAATCAGAACTGTAGATGTCAGTGGGTAGACAGCGTTGCTGTAGTGGGATTGGGATGTTTACAATCGGAACTGTTCCAGCCATTGGCTCGTGGTGCATCGTATGTAGAGATGGAGTGTCCATTCATCAGCTTTCCAGTGTAATAAGTGTTGTAGCCCGCCTCCTGAAGCCACACGGGAAGATACGCATCATTGAAACCTTCTTCAATGAATCTAGGATACCCGCCTGCTATTAGTCAGTACAAATTCTAGCTTATCCCTTTGAGTCTGAAGTACCGTAAGGAGCTGAGACGTCTGTGACATTCGTGTTGTGGGCAGCTTTCCCCGTCAAGAGCGACACTCGTGACGGGCAACATAGTGCTACGGTACAAAAATGCTTCTTGAACCAAGTACCTTCCTGGGCGAAATGCTTCTGCACAGCAGGTTGGTAGTCGAGCGAGTTTAGATGTAAGTCTTGATCGTCGGTAATGATGAAGATGAAGTTGGGTTTGGAAGAGCGCCCTGTAACAGCGGCTACACCGAAGGAAAGAAACAGTAGAATTCGACTTGAAATCATGGTTGTGGGTGAGAGTTGAGTTCTGTAAAATTCACAGTGTTGATATACCTTCGGATTCGTTTACACTCTGACGTATCCGGGTAGTCGCTACCCACGCCCATCGCGCGAAGTTGCAACTCCATTGCGTGCTCGGGAAGCCGACCAGGGTTCAGCACAGTCCCACTCACGATGCATACTAGTAGACATAGCTGCCAATAGGACGAAAGGGAAAGTCATGACCGAAGTGAATGGAATGGAGCTCTAGTCTTGAAAGGAGAAAGAACTTGACAGTATGAGCTTATCGTGAAGCAGGCTAAGAAGTGTGGTCCCGATCTAGCTGCCAGTACACAGCAGATCTACCTGTATACAGACTTGACAAGAGGGATTTTGTAAGGGGATCTGAGATAGCTTGAAGTACTGAGTAAGGAGCCCTGTCGGCCTTGCGCTAGCCATACCTAGGTGGCCTTAGACACGGTTCGAATGAAGTGAAACTTTGGAACAGTACCTAGGTATACGTCATTGCAGGGCTGATGCATCGATTCCATGCTGTGGCCGCATCTATACAACTTCGCCAAGCCTTTGTTCTGTGACACGAGAAGATGATTCCACGAACACGAGCGATACCGGGTAGAGGGGTCAGCACATGGGACGACCTTGTTCACTTCCAATACATAGTGGGGCATCGGAACGTTCCGAAGAGCGGGCCGAGGAGTTATTCCGGCGGCGCCTGTCGATGGCGTAGGTCCAAACACATCGACAACACACTCGCGCACCTCACCGCTCTACCTTCACGCAACTATGTCGGGAGGCTGGAACACCATAGAGTCTGATGCCGTAAGTATACCCTTATCTTTCTCGGGAACCGCATACTAATCACCACAGGGTGTCTTCACATACCTCATCGAGAAGCTCGGTGTCAAAGGCGTAGAGTTCGAAGAACTCACCACACTCGAACCCTCAGACTTACAAGCCCTCGGTACACTGTACGGCGTAATCTTCCTCTTCAAGTACCCGACCGGCGAGAAACCCAGCGACGTACCGAAAGACGGGTCGTACGACTACGAGGCGGCGAATAAGCTCTTCTTCCCTGCGCAAACGATACAGAATGCGTGTGGTACACAGGCGATTGTTTCGCTGCTGCTGAATAGGGAAGAGGAGGTGGATATCGGCAAGGAACTGAAGGAGTTCAAGGAATTTGCTGGAGACTTTCCGCCAGAGGTATGTGAAGGCAGGGACTGACTGGATGCTTTGGATATGAGGGGCTGATAAAGAGGCATAGCTACGAGGAGAAACACTGTCAAACTCGGATCTCATTCGCGAAACTCACAACTCTTTCGCGCGGTCTTCGCCGTTCGTCGACGAGACGCAAAGGACGGCTACTGAAGACGACGATGTCTTTCACTTTATCGCGTTAGTCCCCTTCCTCCCTTCCTTGTCTATAACCCCACCACTCCCCAACAGCTCACCCACTAACCCACACACCCGCAGCTACACATCCATAAACAACCGCCTCTACGAACTCGACGGCCTCCAACCCGCGCCCATCCTCCACGGCCCCTGCACCCCCACCGACTTCCCCGCCAAAATCATCCCCGTCCTCCAACGCCGCATCGCGCGCTACCCCGCCTCGGAAATCCGGTTCAACCTCATGGCCTGCTGTCGCGACCTGCGCATCCGGGCCAGGGAGATAGGCGACGAGGACGAGCTGGAAGAGCAGGAGGATAAGCGCGCGAGGTGGCTGTATGAGAATAGTTTGAGGAGGCATAACTTTGTGGGGTTTGTGGGGGAGTTGTTGAAAGCCGTGACGAGGGCGAAGTTAAATGAGGGCGAGGGGGCTTATGAGGCGTGGGTTGAGGATGCGAAGGGGAGGGCGGGGAGGAAGAGGGAGGAGTTGAAGAAGAAGGGTATTCAGCCTGAGGAGTAGGTAGGAGAGGGAGTGGGAGCAGGGGTGGATGGGGTTCGTTGTGGATTAAGAAGTCTGAAAGATGGGTGCTTGTGCATGATGATACTTGCAGAGCTCTATTGGACACAAAGCTGATAATCACAAAGACCAGTCTATCGGACTACTATGCTCTTTCCCGTGTCGAATGAACTTGGAAACTACGTCGAATATCTCCAGACTATACTGATATGCCTACTGCCTCCCACATTTACACTCCCAATCCGGTCTCTCGCAGCAACGCACACACACTGAGACCAGGCCGCACACGTAACATGATAATATCATATCTTCATTCTTCATATTGGTATATACTCCCCACATCCGTATCAATGTCCCCATCCACAGCCACACCATCCAAGTCGTCGACCAACCCAACCAAACCACACCCATAAAGAGAAAAAAAAAGCTCAAGAAAAGGGGATATCTTCAATCGAAACCGCTACATTACGTCATGAACATGAAACATGAAAAGACATGGTATAGTATATCGTGTGGTGTATGTATGCGAATGCAAACGCAAATGCACATGTATATGCATATAGATAGGTAGATGCTAGAGGCCGTGAGGGGTATGCGTTATAAGCTTCATAGAAAAGAGAAAAGGAGAAATATAACAAAGAAAAGAGGAGGGAATATGCGGGTGGGGAGAAGGCGATGGAGGAGGAGGAGGAGGAGGAAGGCGGGAGAGCGTCTAAGCAGAAGCCGCGCAGTACGCAAGGGGCGCAGGGAAGACGGTTTCGACTTCTGAAGCGCAGAACGAGGCTTCAGCGGGTGTCTGGTTGGAAGCAACGACATCCGTCTTCACCTCAACCTCAGCAGCAGCGAGGGGAGTAGACTGTTCCACAACGACGTCGAAGATGTCAAGATCTACAGCGGGGCTGGTAGATATCTCTTCTTCCGCCTTCTCCTCGACAACAACCTCAACCTCAACCTCAACCTCAACCTCAACCTCAGCCTTCACTTCCTCAGCCACAGACTCGATCTCCGGGTCCGCAATCCCAAGAACCGGGACAGCAGTAGCAGTGGCAAACTCCGTAACCGTAAATGTAGAGTAACTCGTCGCAGTCATAGTAGCCGTGACGGCATTCATCATGGGCGCCGCAACCTCGGTGGGGAGCTCTAGCATCTGTGCCGACGCGGGTGCTTGCTGAGCAGCACGCATGTTCATCGCCATGTACGCAACCGCAACAGCCAGTAACAAGATAATAGAGTTGCGCTTGTCGCTGAGGAGAAGGATGATGTAGTTCTTCAGCAGCGTGGTGAGCGGTATTTGAGCTGCCGAGAGACGTGTGGCAACTTCAGCGCTCTCCTGTTCCTTGATAGCAGTTTCCAGCGCACGGAGACGCTGGGCGACGGCGTCGGATTCAGCAAGGGCTTTGGCTTCGAGTTCAAGACGAACAGCCTCCTTCGCTTCGTTGAGCTTGAGCTGGAGGTCCTCTTCGAACTTCTTCCTCTCGGCTGCTTTCTCTTCGATGCTTCTTTGTAGAGCGGCGGCGGCCTCTTCGAAGCTCTTTTGTAGTTCGGCTTCCTCCTTGCGCTTCGCCTCGTTGGCTTCCTCTTCTAGGATCTTGGTCTTGGCGGCGGCTTCTTGGATTTGGCGTTGCAGTTCGACGGTGTATTGTGCCTTGCGCTTGTCGGCTTCTTGCTCTTCCTGGGCGCGGCGCTCGAGCGTCTTGCGGACTTCTTCGGGGATCCAGGGGTGGATCTCGACGTCGCATCTTTCCATGTCGTTCCAGCAGGCTTGCCAGGCGGCGGCGCGCATCAGACCGTTGGCAGCGTAGATCTTGATGTCCCATTTCCGTGTGCCGGCACCGATGCCTTTGCCGGGCTTCTTGAGTTCGCGGTGGCAGTCTATGCACATGCTGTGGTCGCCGTTGTGGGAGGTGTTGCTTCCTTCCGTCAGTGTGCCTCCACTCATGCGACTGCCCCGTCCGGTGTTCTCGTCGCCGACGCTCGCGACATCGTCCTCGTCGTCCCGCTCGTCCTCGTCCTCGGGTGGGACAAAGTGGCCGCACGGGAGCAGGCGGGGTGTTCTGAGCTCCAAGCTTTCCAGTATGCGTTCCTCGAGCAGGTCGTACTCGTCCCTGGGGTGCGGGATGAGAAGCCCGCGTCGCATCAGGATGATGTCCTGCAGCTTCTCCTCCAGCAGCTTGTAGTTCTCCACCAGCCAATCAGGCATGATCCTGGCCATGATGTCGTGCGAGTACGGTACCTGCATGGGCAGAATGGTAACATGCAACAGGACCAGCGGCGCCTGCTGCGGTGTCGGGGTCGGTCTCGGACTATGAGGCTCCCGTATGCTCCTTCTCCGTGAGCCGGTAGACTGTCTCGACATGTCGTGCTCTGATCTGCTGCTCCTGCTAGGTGTAGCCAGCTTGAAGGACCCTTTGAGTCGCTCTTGGGAGGTCTGGTGTGCGAGTGTGGGCGGCGGCGACGACATCTGCATGGCGCGGACAGACTCAGTATTCCGGAAGCGCGGACGTTCTTTGCGTGCTCGTGCACCGGCCTCGTTAGCGGGCAGGATGGGTTTCGAAGCTATCGACGACTCGGAGGGAATAGCCGAGACGAAGCTGTAATGCGAGGACATGCGCTGCTGGGACCCCGGGCGCGAGGTGTAGGAGCTGCGGTAGGGCTGGGGCTCGTCGTCGGGCTCCTGTTGCTGTGCCAGCTCAATGCTATGTACAACGTCGTGGGCCATGGGGAACGAGCGTTCGGAGTGGTACGAGTCACTGCCGTCGAACAAGTCCGAAGGCGACAAGGGTTCGCGATCCTGTGGGTCTTCGTAGATGGCGAATGAGGTAAGGCCCGGCTGGGGAGACGGGTGGTGCATGGTAGTAGCCATATCGACCTTTCTTCCAACAATTCTTCGCAATGTGTAACTCAAAGTTTGTGAGATGGAACAATTGCAAGATAGATAGAATGGGAGGCCAGGGATCCCATCATCTGAAATTCATGGTGAGCCGAGGCGGCACCCGGTGGGGGTTGGCTGCGAGGTGGTTGGGATGGCTAGCGCGTGCGTTGTCGACGTGTCAAGAGCGTGCTGGAGTTTGTTTACACACCGACACTTTAGCGCCTAACCCCAAACGTACACCAACGGCCTCGCGCCCCATCCTTTCCAACCCTTCCAGCATGGAGCCTTCGGATTTCAGTGGGCGACGCCCCGGTAGTGTTCCCGCCTGCATGCCTTTTTGAGAACTCTCGCCTTTGATAGGATCTGGATCTTCCTCCATGCGAGTACAGCCTCATTCTGCAGCATGTAACATGACTACTCAAAGATAGCCAGTACCCCACCACGAGACAGACCGTTGCACGCGCGCATGGCGACGACCAGAAAATCTTTGAGTCGCTGATTCACGTCTTTGTAAAAAGGTCGGTGTAGGAAGCCGATCGCAAGTGGCACAAGCTCGTCAAAACAAAGAAGGGCTACCAATCTCACGATATATCGTTGACGCTTTCATCGATTCATCGAAGGTTGTTACCAGCCGCTTCATGTCCACGTATCGCTGTGCTGGCTCTGCGGCGGGGCACAGTCTACCCCTCCTGTTTGAACTAATTCCTCTTCGCTCGTAATTACCACAACCATGATAGCCAGCACATGCTGCATCACTCACTATTCCTAGTCTGGAACGCTCTCACTCTCGATAGTTTCGACTTTGCCTTTTATACCTTCCGGATCACGCGTATGAGTGCAGATTCAATTATTCAAGCTGGTCAGTGTATAGTCAGCGGACTTGAGAGCCTCAAGCTTTCGAGATGCCATATAGGCATCACCATACAATGGAAATCCCTCGACTTACTGCAAGTGGCGTCCACGATATCGTTACTCAACTAGGTAACAATAAGTAACCTTCCAGCACCGCTCTTACAAAGACACTACAAGTAGGACCTGGCATCGCAATGTCTTTAGATGACGACGGATGGACTCACCAAGTTCAACGTCCTCGGAATTTCTTCTGTGTGCTTCGGCTCTACCTCCGCCAGTATACTGACCATGACTCATACGCCATGCACCCAACATGCACAACATCACAACCCCCCTCCTCATCCCCAAACCCTATACCCATCATGCCACGAACAGCCCTCTTCGCAATCGACATCCAAGTCGAATTAGCGCAAAACGCAGCGACCGAAATACCACATGCGGAGCGCATTCGAGGAGCTGGAACGACTATCCTACAACGAGCGCGTCAAGCCATTGACACGGCGTGCGAACAGGGCCGAGAACCAGATATAGAGATCGTATTTGTGCAGCATGAGGAAAGTGCTGAGAAAGGACCGCTGGTGAAAGGGAGTAAGGCGTGGGAGTTGGTGTTCAAGCCACGAGACGATAATAAATGGGAACGACTGGTAGAGAAGGATGTCCGTGAGTATTCATATTGTGTTTTTGTTTTCTCTTGACGAATGCGTTTAGGTGACACTTTCGAGTCTAACCCTCAGCTTGCGTCCCAGCTAAAAGACGAGGGTGTAGACACGATAGTAGCCTTTGGAATACAAAGTGAATGCTGCGTCCTTTCAACGTGCAGAGGTGCTCTAGCCGCTAGGTTTAATGTCATCTTGTTACAAGGTGCACACTCTACTTACGACTACAACGACAAGACAGCCAGGGAGGTTGAGATAGACGTGGAGTTGATGCTCGAGAGCGCGGGCGCTGAGGTGGAAGGCTGGAAGGTGTGGAAACCGGTGGCTTGATACTTGGAGTAACTTTGCGAGGTTTGGTGTAATCGGATTATTATGAAACAGCCGTGGATATAGGAAAATCTCGGGTATACGATCTCTACCGCTTTTCCACAGCCTCACCTACTCACCCATGTTAGAAAAGATATTAGGCTGGGCAGAGCGTCAAGCAAACACGCTCGTCCACAACACCCACACTACCGATTCCATCTGGCCCGCTGAATCTAATGGTCGATCACCTCCCTGTTCCCCGCCGTATGGCCGCCGGGTCACCGCCGCCTATATCAACTCCTCCACCATGCCCAGGTGCCACTCCTCCATACATCCATCCAGGTCCCCGAAGAACGCAACACCGCGTACGCCGAGTACAAGCGCGTGGATAAAGACCTCGATATTGTCGCAGGCGACCTCCGGACACTTCCAAGGTTTAGGTCCAAGACTCCCCAAACCAGAACCAGAGGACCAGGAAGCGGGCCCGTGATGACGCAGAGGTCGATTATTTACCTAGATAGAGCGTTCCGCACCGAGCGATTTCAGAGATGGGCTTGCACATAGTCGTGCTGGACGCCAGTAGAGCTTCACATAAGTCTTAAGTTCTTCGTGGAGGGGAATTGGTTATAAGTCGATGAGGAAATAGGCAAGAAGAAGAGGAGAGACTTATGTTTTACTGTATTTTAATGTATTCACTAGAAAGACGTTGTTTGTTCTGCGGTATCGAAGCACTGGAGTTAGATACATTAGGGAGATACCTTGGGGAACCACCTGGGGGAGCTACCTGGGGAAGCACCTTAGGGAACCACCCTAGGGAAGCACCTTGGGGAACTACCCTAGGGAGCCACCCTTCTAAGAGGTATCCACCCGGGTCTTCCCGCGGGTGGTTCCCGCGGGTAGTTCGCTGTGTTGCTTCCCCCAGGTGCTTCCCCAGGGTGCTAGTAGCGTTTGCGTGGTTACCATGAAAGTGTTGCTGCCTAACACGCTAGCTGAAGATTCGTAGGTGAGTTCAAGAAACGAAGCTGCATCTAGAAGTGACGGACAACTTCCGTGTAGAGAGCGCCTCCCAATCGATTACCTAGAGGCCGACATCTCACTAGTAAAGTCTCCAGGCAGCAGGCTCAGGCAAGCCGGGAACCAACAACGCCTTAAAGACGCCTTGTACAACTTGTCTTATTAAACCGTGAGAATAACGTAGCCCTCGAGCTCTCTTACAAGATCTAATACAAGCAAGTGTAGAGTCGACAACTCCTTAGTGGCACTCTCTCACTTTTGCAACCTTACATCCTAGCAGCGACGTAGCACTCACCGAAGAAGTATAAGCTTCCTTCCATTCTTCAACCCCTTCCGACCATAATATCGGTCATGGCTTCAGTGTTCACTACTCTCAACATCACTCGACGCTCGCCCTATCTCCGAGCCCTTCACCATTCGGGGCGAGCTCGCGGCAGCATGAGGTAGCCTTGACCGTTGTGGGTGGGGTGAGGGGACAAGGTACGAGAGGGCAATCGCCGTTGCTGTACTTCCTCGGTGGAGAGGACATCTATGATCTTCCGAAGACTTGCGGCCTTCTGTAGAGCTGTTCAATTACGACGAACGCGTTTATTGTACCGACTTGTTTATAGCGACGAGGTAAGGTAGTTTGCGTTACAATTATTCAAGGACTCACTGTATGCTCGTCACGAGGCAATAGTATCTCGAACCACCCCGCTCAACTTCATTATCGCCTCCACGCACCCTCGTGAGGTTCCAACGCCACCCGTATTTAGTCGAAGTCGTCTTCGGCCGCATTGATTAGCTACTCCCCGTACCTTAGTTAGTCAGTTGCACTTCACAACACCCCTCGCAACAAAGGACTCAAGCCAGATCTACCAAATTACTTCCCGAACAAGCTTATGCTATCTGCCGCTATACAAGACTCGTATTGCTACGACTTGCACCCTCACCTCGGTGACCTGCCACCAAGCCGCTGCCATCCAGCAGTGATGACTTTGCGGCCTTGTTGTTGCTAGCTGCCCCCTCGACTCGCGACTTGGTTAGAGTGTGCCGGAACGCCTCCTCCGTCAAATTTGCCATCTAGTTCTTCAGATTCATGCTCACGCCGTCATGGTGGAACCCCAACTTGGCCTTGATCCTCTTCTTCTTCTTTCGGGCTTTTGTGACGTAAGCCTCGATAGAATTTGGCGACTCATATGTCCATACAGTGACCTCTCGGTCCTGCCCAATCCTGTCCTTGGCCATTCTTTCCAAGATCTTGCTGGAGAGCTCTTCACCATTCAAGAAAACTTTGAAGTTTTCACCGATGTTGACGAGTCGTGGCTTCTTCGCTGGAGTTCCTGGTTTGCTTGCCCCTGAGACGTTGTCGATGGGCCTTTTCTTTGTTTCGTCGAGGGTCTTGAAGGCTTCAAGCCATTCCGACTTGATCAGCTCTCTCTTTGCCTTTGCTGCTTTGACATCTTGATATCATTTATCGAAGACAATCTCGTCGAAGTTGTACGTCTTGTCGGTCAGGGCGACGTACGCCATTACGTAGCCGCCATTGTTTCCTCAAACTTTGTTGTCCCGGCGAACGAATCTCCGTCGCAACCGCACAAAATGTGTATGACTTTATTCGCGACTACCGACGGGCTGTGTTGGAGGACTCTCTCACTCAGGCGGCAGTCTGTGCCCCGGCGGCGCTGGGTGCTGGTCAGATGCGCCTGGTAGAGGGCCGGGACGTGTGCTGCCTGGGTGAGGGTGAGGCCTAAGCCGCCACCAAACGGTTTTGACTGATCCTGTTCACTCGGGCGACCGCCTGCGCATCGGTGGCAGGGTTCCATCGCGGTGTCAAAATGAACATGTGGTTTGCGTCCACAAGGGTAAGCCCAAGACCGAAACACTGGATGGTGGCAAGCATCACTCTGACCGGATCATCGGGGTCATTGAAGCGAGCTCGCACTTCATCCCTCTCCTCCAGGGTCATGTGGCCATTAAACGTGAGGAACTCAATTCCCGCAGCCCGAAGCGCATTACTGACCACGTCCAAAGACTGGAGGAAGTCATCTACTACGATAATTTTGCCCTCCGTGGCCGCCTCATGAATGGGGACGAGTTGCTGCATCGGCGTGTTGATGCGTGCAGAGCTCCAGTCGTCCTTGGTTTCATCCAAGAGATGCTGTTGCGCCTGCTTGTGGCTCATATCGAGGAAGATGTTTTTGTGAGCCAGACCCATGGTCGCCTCTAAGTCAAGGCCGAGCCCCTCAAAGTCTTTCGCACCCCCATATTCATCCTTGCTCTCAGAATCTTTGGCAAGGTTCGCTCCCTCATCATCTTCGCTAAGGCTTTGTCTCCCGCGCGCTTCCTCCTACTCCCTTGCGGCTTTGCATCCTTCTGTTAAGTAGGCTCCTGGGGGCTGGATGCGCTTCTTCTCCCTCAGTGCGTGGCCAATGTATGCCTCTGGCACCTCTTTCGGTTACCCATAGCTCCGCGTCTGGGACATGGAAGTCTTCTGCCTCTCTATCACCGTTCTTCGTAAGTTGTGACTCATGTCCACGTAACTTTCGCCCTCATAGTTCACGACAGCGTTGTGCGTCGCAACCTGATCGAATGCGGCAAAGAAGACGATGCCCAGGTGTCGGTACCGCTACTCGACGTCTACCACCAGTACTTCCCCGCCGTCCCAAAGCGCTTACCAGCTGAGCGTCCTGGCCGGTAGACTGAATGGAGACGGAAGACGGAGACCGTCTGGGTGTCCATACCCCAGCGGCCACTCCTGGATGCACCACCTTCATGCGTACTTTGAGGACCTCTGGTAGGGCCCGAACGCGGAGTTTCTCGGACCACCGCTCTCTGTCCTTCCCCCCCTTCTGCTTACCCCAAATGGGTCTTGTTTCTTTCTGGTGGGCCGCCTCGGCCGTCGGTAGTGTCAACTTCGTGTTTCTCACGCTGTGTCGCGAGAATTCAACGAGGCGACCTCCATTGAAAGTGTCGTCGATTGCGAGGGTGGAGAAGCAGGCCCGCAGACTGGTGGAGAGGATCGCGTTTCTTACGCCCCTGAGGGTCTTCGTCTTGGTCTTCTTCGGCTTCTTGATGGCGAAGTAGTCATTAAATACTTTGATGTCGTTCCAGGGTTGGATCCTTAGCCATTTCATGAGGGTTTGAACCTCGTCGTAATCATTTTCGAGGGGAGTTCCAGTTTTCTGATGAGCAGACTCCGAGGATAAGAGTGTCACCAGGGTATGGTTTTCGATAGCTCGCGAGAACTCGACCAACTGCTCCCCATCGAAGGCGTCGTCGATCCTCAGAGGGAAGACGCAAGCCCTCAGACTAGTGAAGAATCGCGTTGCGTTCTCCCTTCAACGTGCGTGCCCTGGACCTCTTCGGCCTTTTCGACGCGAAGTATTCGTTGGATACCTTCCGATCGTTCCATGGCTTGATTTCCAGCCACTTCATCAAGGTCTGGACTTCGTCGTAGTCGTTTTCCAGGGGCGTTCCGGTCAGACCCAAGCGCTTTGGCGTCTTGAGTGCGCACATCGCTTGCGATGTCTGCGAGCGTGACCGGCTCGCTTTGCTGATCTCACCTGCGATGACTGCCGCGTATCCCAAGACCATCAGAGGGTAAGTTCCCGAATTGTTCTGCAGTGGATGCCTACCCCGTACCACAACAACTACAAAACCTACAGCTCCGTAGCTATCGGAAAAGAGGTAACTGCTTGCGAGAATACCTAGGCAATACACATTGTCGACCTTGTATACCCTCCGTCCTCTTCTCTTCTCCCAGCGTCCTGACATCTTGTTATCGTTACAAATCAAGCTACTTATCTGCCACATTCTTCTATCTACTCTTACTTATCACATTACATCAGCACCCATTCGTCAAGATAGATCCTCTGCCACCGGCACCGCACTACCACCTCCTTCCAGTAAAATGTCCGGTCGCACCCAACCGCAAAATGAACGACCTCAATAAACGTCAGGCTCTGAGAGCATCAGTAGAGTGGCAGACCCTCAAACCTGATGGGCCATACGGTCACGCATCCAGAAGCCGGAAGGACAGATTCTGCTGTCACACTTCGCACTGTCAGACCAAACGCCATCGAGAAGACTACATGCAGGGCTGACATGTATCACTGCGTCGGCGCAAGGGACCGCGGAGGCGACGTTGTTTCTACACAAGGAGGATATAAACTACTCGCGCTATGCTAGAAACGATTATGTTGTATCTTGTCTCTGTTGGCGGGATTGAAGGCGCTCTTGCGAGACGGCTTGTGAGTGGGTATGTAGAGGCGTGAACACGGTTTTGTACGATGTTGGTGGGAGATGACATGTCTGTGTGGTGCGCGCGTATTGCTCTATGAGAGCGCTCCGAGGAAAGAACGCGTCTGCTCAAGGCCGGTGTGGTAGATAGTTCGGATGCGCTGTATGTGGTATGTCTGCTTTACACTGCGGTAGTGGAAATCCATTACACTGGATCCCGCCTGGTCGTCACCACCTCCACTCATTGATAGTCTCAATCATACTCTTGAACTCCATCCTGTTCTCGGGGAAGTACCGGGGAATACTCGTAGAGGAAGACGAAAAGACGTCGAGGCCTCCCTGCTTCGCTCTCGCGTCGCGCGGCGAGAGCGATAAAGTCCCCGTCGTCTCCTCGCAGACGCCTCGCCCTACTCCTGGAGGCTTGCCAGCTCCTTTCTGGCACTGTCCCACATGCTTGATGTAGCCCTAATTCTCTCCTGGTGTTCCTTTGGCATGAACAGGTCTGTGAACGACCTCTGAATTTCAGCCTCCACCTCGCCAGCATCATCTGCACCCCCCTCGCCCGCTGCACCTCCATCGACCTCGGTCCCTACACTCTCGTCAATCTTGCTCTCCTCATCTTCATCACCATGAAGATATTTTTTCTGGAGTCGCAGCTCCTCTGCTCGTCTAACTCCCTCCATCTCTGCGGCAATTTCCTTGCGCGAATTGTCCTTCGCGAACCTCCACCAACCCCAGAAGCCGAAGACGCTCACCGTTGGTACGAGGGTGCTCCTATACTCCGCCATTTCGCGTAGTAGTTGCTAGAAAACTCAGTAAAAAGCTTCAAAGGTAGGAATAATAAACTTGAACTTACGACTGGTGGCGCATGTTTCAGGCCTTTGCGGCCACGAAGGTCCTTGCCTACCCATTCGAGATACTTGCTGGAGAGTACCCCGCCCCTCATCCATGATCGAATGATGGAGTTGACGTCGATGAGCTTGATTTTTTTGTTGGGCGAGCTCGTGATCTCACCGATCGTGGCGCTTCTCTTCTTGGTGACGCCAGCGACGTCCATCTCTTCGAATGCGTTCGTCCATTCTTGCTTGATAGCTTCCTTTCTCTTGCCTTTTGAGATACTGGCCCAGTTGTCATCGAAGACGATCTTTTTCCAAGAGAAAGGCGTCTCGTTGAGGCCGACGTAGACCTTGCCGTATCCGCCGTCACCAACGCCCTTGTTGGACCGAGGCACCCAGCGCATGGTCACCACCTCTTTGGCGGTGTTGGTGCCGACCCTTATCAGTCGCTGATCTGGGTAGGTGACTGTCTGCAGGACTTTTCGGGAGTGATGTTTTGTGGATATTGATGAGTTTGAGGGCAATGCTAGAAGAGTGAGGATGAGGTTGTAAGAAAGAGAAACGGCATGAGGCAGAGGTAGACCTGAAGAAGTCGTGGAATCGCGTTCACGTCGATGTAGGGGAGGGGCTGTATCGAAGCCTTCCCGCTGCCACATAAGCGTAACCTCCCTCCCTCCGCGTACCGACGTCGGCCTCCCGAGGCCGTCTCACTCCTAAATAAGCTTCACAATGATGAACAGAAGAGAGGACGTTGGTTGCTTGTAGCGAGGCTTGCTATTAGGCTGTGTGCTAATGTATAACCTTCCTATCTAACTGTAGACTCAATCCCCATCACTCTCACTCGTTTGTTTGATTCGACATGTAGTCTTGGATGATGATATTGACGGAGCCCATGACGTCGTTGTACACCAAGTCGCGGACTTCTTGAATGAGCTTATCGCGGGCTTCGTTCGTGACATCGTTGAACAGGTCGTTACGCACGTCCTCGATGAGTGCATCGCGCGCTGCGGTTGTGTTCAAGGTTTTCTATGAAGAAGACGTTAGCATAGTTCCTCTGCTTCACAAATGCGTGGCTAAACTTACCTAAGCCGATAGAGTGTCGATAACAGTCTTAGCGAAGGGGGCTGCGTGCCAGATCATGAGGAGGAGGAATGTGCCCTTGACGATGAGAAAGACCAAAGCCCATGCAGTCTGCTTGTTGGCTTGCTGGTTTGCTTGGTCGTCATGGTCGATCTTGGCTTGGGCTTCTTGGCTGCGTTCGCCGTTGGCTGGGTTGACCCATCGTGGAGGGGATTCGAAAAGATTGACGATTTGGGCCCAGGTTGGAGTGGCAGGAGGGGTGGGACCTGCCGGTGCCGGTGGAGTGACTGGTGAGTTGGGCATTGTGCTCGTTTTGTCTTCGATATAGTGGTTATGAATGTCTGTGAGAAATGTGGACGGCGGTGGTGAAGAGGAAACAAGAGGGAGAAGGGGAGTGGTCTCCTTTTTATCGAACATGATGGCTACGTCAGCACCTGGTGCGTGCTTTGAGATAGGATACAAATGTGCAGGAGTGTGTGAGGTGCAAATCTAGAAGGGGGAGCGCGACGGGTTTTATAGAGCAAGTGCGAGGCCTTGCCGAGGGAGGAACTATGGTAGACACTGCCACACTACCCACCCAATCTGCGCACATTACTATAGCATAACCGCTTATTCGAAAGGATTGGGGTCGACTCTTGGTTCAGCCACACACAGGTAGGGCATACTCTTTCACTTTCTGCAGTACTGCAACCAATGAGTATCGCCTGTGTCCTCGCTGCTCGACAAGCGTGACGTCACTAATCAGAAGGAACGATGTCAGCTTCCCGCAGTGTGGCAGGAAGGCACAAAATGACTATGCAGCCGCCTCTAACCCACAAACTGCGATAACCGGCACGAGGCAAAAAGTTGACTTGGAGAAGTCGCCAAATTGCGCTAACGTCGGTGTAGGGTAGTAGCTAGGTCGAAGCCTTCCCGCTACCGCATGAGCGTGCCGTCCTTTCCTTCCGCGTACCGACGTCACATTCTCGAACAGTGCTAGAGAACCGCAAGTCACACCATCTACAGACGTCTTCGACCACCCTATACAAAAGCTCTCACACGGTGGCTTGGGTCTAGATTAGTGTAGCGCATGGAGACGGAATTTGGAAAACCACGTACACCGTATACAAGATGCGGTGGTTGGGTCTAGATGGACGTCACTAACAAAGAACCTGCAGCTGAAGAAGAACGGAAGGAGCACGCGGTAAGCGGGGTTTGTCCTTAAGCGCTGAGGCATTGTTAGTTTTGAAAGAGGAAGTCGACGTCCTCTAATCGCATCCCCCCGTCGTTCCTTTCCACATTCAGTACGTCCAGCCCGTCATTGCTTAACCAGACCTTCCCGGCATCCTTATTCGGGCAACTCATCAGCAAATACGCTGCCCTTGATCTCAGCAACCTGGAGACTGTGCCAGAAGTCTTTGCTGTTTACGGCCGACAAGGGCAAGTCGACGACGTAGCTCTGCTACGCGGCGGGGAATCTTGTATGGGGGCTTGAGGACTTCATCCTTCTCCTTGGGTTCCTCATCTCTGAGAGTGACATGCTGCCGGCGAGGCCTCTAATACAGTTAGTCTTGTTGGCGGCCGTGTGGTGCCGAGAGGCCTACTTTGCCTCTTTCCCCAGCCGAAGCTGTCGCGTCTATACCACGTATCTCTCCTGGTGGGGTGTCAGCTAATACCTCTCCGGTGGTAACGGGCATGTCGTGCTCAGCATCTACCCATATCCCGCATGGACTGCTGGCATGTAGCCAATGTCTGCACCAGCCCTACTTCCTACGTTAATAACAAATGACACTCACTGTATTGTCAGCCCCTCACCCCTCCAGGAAGTCGAAGTTCTCGCGGTATAAACGTGATGTAGCAGCCATGCCCCGATGTAATCTTATTTTCATTACTCTCCCCCATCAACCACTTCTCCCCCCAGAAACCTCCATTCATGCCATAGATACCAAACACCGAGACTGTACACCATCCAAACATCATCTCATAAATTGCCATTACTCATGCCACGCCATCTAAAAGGCTCGCACAGCAAGCCTCCTAGATCACCCCATCCAACACCACCTCCCTCACTAAACAACCTCACTACACAACCTCATCTCCTCCCACCCCTCTTCCCCTTCAACGGACTCTCCCCCTTCCCACTTTTACAAAACACACAAACAAACACCCTGGGCAACCACTCCTCCTTCAACCCCACACAGCCCATGTGCAACCACTTGAAGCAAGCCTCGCACTGCACCATCAACGTATCGGCATCATCCACCAGCCCATTGCACACACACCTCGTGCTATCATTACTCTTGCTGCTGCATTCCGTCGAGGGCGTAGTCGTAGTCGTCGGCGAGCCGTTGAAGGAATTAGAGTAAGGGTCGTAACCGCCGTGCGATTGTAATAGGTGAAGTTGGTTGTGTGACGGAGGAGGATGCGAGGTGGACATATCAGCACTCGCCTGCGCCCACCGTTGATTATGCGCGAGCAGTGTGTTTTGGGATGCGCGTTCTGAACTTGTCAGTCGAGAGAAGGGGAAGCGACAGGCTATGCTAGCGTACCGATGCGTTGTTGGCGGGCGCCGACGACCTTTTTCAAGGCGCCGAGGGCGTCGCCGGGGGAGTCGGGCATGTGTGTGTCTTCGGGGTCTCGTTCGCGGAGGCTGGGGCGCTCCATGGCGCTGGAGCGACGGATGGTGTTTTCGGCGGCGACAGCGGCGGAGCGTCGGGTTGATCGTAGCGTTTCGAAAGAGGTCTTGGAGAGGGCGTCGGATGCGAGTCGGGAGGCGGAGACGGAGCGCGCCATCTTGAAGGAGTTGGCTCGTTCCAGTCCACCGCTGTCTGCTCGGGCGTGTTTCGTCGCTCGACGTTCGGGTTGGGGTATGACGAAAGATGGGTTGCGGCTGACGATTGGAGCTGGCTCGTCGTCGTCTGACTCGCTGTCTTGCTCCTCGTACAGTCCGGGGTATTGGCGTCGAAGATCTTGCTGCGAAGTCTGTCGTCTATTCCTGGGGGTCTCATCATCTCCAGTAGGTATCGTCTCTGTGCGAGCTGTACCACTCTCGTCGATGATCAGCCGTGTACGGGGTCTTCTAATCTCAGGTATTGCTTTCAGTGATCCGCCACTTTGACGTTTCAGTGGCGATGAGCGACGAGGAATCGTTGAGGCGTTAGCTGGGATTGCTATCCGAGGGTCCATTGCTCTGGTTATTCTCGGCCCACTATCGGTATTGCTTCGTTGCAGCACAGGCCTCGCGTTTTCCGCTGAACCCGACGACGAAGCTGTGTTGCTGCGTGAATGCTGACTCTTAGCCTTCTTCGCCATTGCCCTCTCATTCTCTGCATCCCGCAGTTGTGTCTCATACGGTTGTCTTGACATGTCGAGCATTGGCTGCTGCGGCATGCTTCCAAAGGAACCGGTCATGTCAGGATTGGAGAAGCTGAGCAGCATGTTGGGATCGACACCTGCAGCTGTATATACAAAAGAGCCATTTCTGACGCCGTGTCTCTGCTGTGAGGGTGTATTCGCAAACGACGCTGGCATGGGAGAAGCTTGGAAGCCCTGGAACGATGGGGTTTGCATCATGTTAGCCGAAGGATGGTTCATCGCTTGCCAGTTCATGTCGTGCTGCGGTCTATGCGGGGTAGGACCGAAGGGGTCCACTCCCAGGGGCACATCTAGATCCATTTGCATGCCATCGTTCGCTGGGTCCCAGAACAGCTTCGATTGAGGCATGGGTGGCGCAGACATTGGACCACCGCTGGGGAACTGCATCATATGTGGAGTGTACTGCAGATCAGCGAAGCCAAACGGTGTCTGATCAAACAGAGCTCCTGAGGATTCCGGCAGTTGGCTGGGCGTCCTGTGCACCACCGTAGCTGGTGTCGCCACCCCATGTCCACTTTGTTGCACACTCCTCCTAGACGAAGCGTCCCTCGTTGGAGGTGGCGTTTGCATCTGCGAAAAGTCCATGCTGACAGGACGAGAGCCGAACTGTCCCTGTGATCCAACCTTCCTCAGCTGATTAGGGCCCGGCGAGGACGACAGCCTTCGGGACACGTCGACCGGCGGAAGAGGTAAATTTTGCGGTGCGAAGTGGTTGACATGGAACTCTGGGTCTTCGGGGGTGCGGACGGGTTGGCTGTACGAGCTCGACGGCCGGCCTATGGGCGTCGAGAGTGTGAAGGAAGGAGTCTGCACCGGGGTGTGCTGCCCATTAGGTCGTGGGGTGGCCCAGGCGTCGAGGAAGTGCGAGTGGGGGAACGACTCGGTCTTTGGTGTTTTGAGAGTTCCGTCAGGGAACGTCAGCGACTTGGGAGTGGAGGAGGGACTTGGGAGATGCCAGTCCGTCGATCTAGCACGCGACCCACGTTAGCCTGGGGCACTTGCAGATGCGAGCCGAGACATGAGGAAAACCAAAAGTGAGATCTATCAACAGAACGGGAAGGAGCGGAAGAAGTCTAAAGAAAGGTATTCTTGGGATAGCATGGCAAGGGATGATGGCAACGAGCTCCAAGTGACAACCGTGCGGTGCTGCCTGACCTCTGCCTACCCTAGACCTGGATTGGGACATAGTCTGGTCCGACATGACATGAAGCCAAGGACGGCCGGAGGTATCAGATGAAGCTCGTTGCACCCGCCGGACGCTACACGTCTTCCGCCATGTGGGAAGGTAGAAGAGAGCCGTACCCATATATGTGTTGATCCAAACTCATAGCAAGCCCAATGACACAAAGCCCTGACACAATGTCCTTCCTTCCCGACCATGTAGCAGTAATATAAGACGTCGAGGGTCGTCCACGAGTCGAGGGAGGCGTTCGGCGGGGTTGGGTCGACGGGTGGTGAAGACAAAGGCGCCCTGATGGACTTCTTTGTTGACGGCGGGATATTCTCGCAAACGCAGGCAGCTAGGCGGGAAGCTGTGAGACCTGTTGGGTAGTACACTTGAGCAGCAGCAGGGGATATGACAGCGTTGTGAGACGTCGTCGAGGCAGGTACCGAGCGAGGGCGTCAGCACAGCGTGGTGGTTGTGAAGAGGCACCTGTTGCTTGCTTTGGGTGACCAGGCACGGCGAAGGTTTCTCACGAACTAGGCAGCTGGTGGGGCCGGGGAAGCTGAAGCTGCAGTTGCAAAGGTAGTAGTTCGGCAAAGATGAAGAATTGATAGTCCCGATCGTGACCCGCAGCTGGCAGCAGCAGCAGCAAGCACTCCGCAACACACTGGCAGCACCGCCTGAGCAGGACCTGGAATGCGGCTTAGGCTAAGTCTCCTGAGGGCTAGGAGGCGTCTAGCTCAGGTACCGAGCCCGCAGGTGCATGGGCCGGCGAGGGCGATAT